CTTCGGGATTTTCTTCTTACTTCGGGATTCTCTTCTTACTTTGGGATTCCCTTAGTTTCCCCTCCCCCCCCCCCCACATATGTATACTAACATACTGGCGTTTCCTCATCCCCACACTGCCCACACCAGGTATCGCCAGGCCAAGCAGGGGAAGCACCTCGCTGCTCCCATTAAAACCTATTTGCCTCTCCCTCCCTCCCTCCCTCCTCCTCTCCCCCTCCACCAGGTATCGCCAGGCGAAGCAGGCAGCGCAAGCAGGGCTGCAGACAGGGCAGCAGGTAGCAGGTGGAGCAGTAGAGCGAGCAAGGCACCTTGCTGCTCCTGTAATCCCAGGCCTTGAGTCATCTACAACCTATGGGCAACGTCCGGGAGTGCGAATCCGTGCACCTGCTGGTGCTGGCGTTGGTGGTGGCGTGGGTGTTGGGGGTGAGGGGGGAGGAGGCACGGCGTATGAGGCGGGAAAGGAGTATGTGAAACGAACCCTTGGCGGGATTGCAGGAGGAACAGGACGGGAGACAGGAGCAGAAGCAGGGGAGATGACCAGCACTGGCATGCAGGTGTGATTCGGTGACCTATGGCTCATGTTTTTGAGTTGTTGCGGCAGTTGTTAGTCAGTTTCACACTTTCTAACCTTTGTGGCGTTTCCATTTTACATCTCTGAACACCAAATGTCTGGGCTTGTTTGGTTGGTTGTGTTGTGCCTGAATCCATGCAGGGTCAGGGGCCTTCGGAAGGAGGAGTGGTGGGCAGCTTGCAGCAAGGGTAAGTAACTGGACCTAATTTGCTATCACTAAATGTTCTCCTGAACCATAATTCGCAGAAGAGTTTCCATGGCTATTAATAGATATTCTTCTGCCCCTGCCACTTTCCATTTCTGGCCTTCCTCCAGTCCTTTCATGTAGTCTAGTCTGGCCCCTCCTTTCCTCTGTTTCTCCTACCAGGTATCACCAGGCGATGGACGTGGCACAAGCAGGGCTGCAGACAGGGCAGCAGCTGGCAGGGGGAGCGGTGCAGCAGGCAAAGCACCTCGTTGTGCCCATCCTCCCTGGTGGGGCGAGTGGAGCGGGTGTAGGAACGGGCGTGAGTGGTGTGATGGGGCGCGGAACGGGCGTGAGTGGTGTGATGGGGCGCGCAACGGTTGAGGAGCGTGCTCAGCGGGAGGCATCGGCATATGAAGCAGGGAAGGAGCGCGTGAAAAGCGCTCTGGAGGGGATTATAGGGGGGACGGGGCGTGTGACAGGAGTGGGAGCACGAGTGGCAGGGACGGGCGGGAGTGGCACGGAGGGAGGGAGTGAAATGCAGGGTGTGGAGTCTGGGGGCTATGCAGGGAGAATCCCTGGGGCAGGGCTTGTGACGGGTGTTGCTGATGTGGCACGGCGCACCGTGGGGACCACAACTGACACGGCGAGAGGTGCTGCACAAACGGCAGGAGATATTGCAAGCAGGGCTGTGGGAACGACAACTGAAACTGCTGGGAGGGTGGTGGGAACAACAACGGATACAGCGAGAGGCGTGGTTGGGAAGATGGTGGGGATGGGGGAGGAGGTGGCAGGGAGGGGGTATGGAGCGGTGGAGGGCACAGTTGGAGGAGTGATGCAGGGTGTAAGGCGAATGACTGGACTGGGTGGGAAAGGGGGAGTTGTGCAGGGTGAAATGGGGAGGGAGGGAGTGGGCATGGGAGAGGGTGGGATGGAGGGGATGGGTAGGGGAGAGGGCGGGAGGGAGGGCGTTATGGGTACAGTGAAAGGTGTGGGGGAGCAAGTGAAACACTTGGTGCTGGGAGGGGAGCGAGGTGGGATGATGGAAGGTGGGGGGCTGACTGCTGAAGGGAAGGAGATGAGGGAGAGGATGGAGCAGATGGAGAGAGAGAGGGAGGAGGAGAGTGCGAGGGAGAGAGGAAGGAAGCAGGCGTATGCCGTGCTGCACGGTGCAGAGGAGTGGGTGGAGGGGACAGTGAGTCATGTGGCCGGGGTGCTGACTGGGGGGCTGATTGGAGGGAAGGGGCATGGGGTTGGGGAGGAAACGAGGGGGAGGGAGGGTGGGGAGGGAATGGGGACGACGATGCAGGGATTGGTGCAGGGCGGAAGGAAGGGGGAAGGTATGGGGAAAGGCGTGGGGGAAGGCATGGGGGGAGGGGGAAGCGGAGTTATAGGGGGAGAGGTGGAAATGGGGGAGGAAGTTTCTGGTAAGCCTACTGAGGGGAGCAAAGGAATTCTGGGCAGTGCAGTAGGGGCGGTGCAGAGTGTAGTGGGTGGTACTGCTGACGTGGCAAAGCACGCTGCTGAGTCAGCTCTGGGAGTTACCAAAGCTGTGGGGGGAGCGGTGGTGGGGGCAGGGGGGAGTGCGCTGGGGATGGGGCAGAGAGGAGTGCAGCAGGGGGTTGAAGGGGTGGGGAGCGGTCTTGAGTATGCAGGGGAGGGCCTGGCGGCAGGGTATGGGGGAGCAAAGCAGGGTGTGCAGAGTGGGTATGAAGGGACGAGGCAGGGAGTAGCAGCAGGTTATGAAGGGGTGAGTGGGGGCGTGACAGGGCTGGTGGAGCGGGCAAAGCACCTGGTGGGGCTGGGAGGGGCTCCTGGTGAGGGCGAGGTGGAAGGAACGGGTGAGGCAATGGGCAAGAGGATGGGTGAGCGCATGGGTGAGTTGAGAGAGAGTACCACACCCGGAGGGATGGCAGGGCGAAGGGAGGAGGAGAGTGCTGCAGAGAAGGGCAGGCATGCGGTGCTGTCGATGCTGGAAGGAGCCGAGAGGACGGCTGTGGGTGCTGTGAGCACGCTCACTGGAGGGCTCATTGGTGGGGGAGCAGGGGGTGACCACGCACACACTGAGCGAGCCTCTGCTACTGGTGTTGGTAGTGTTAGCAGTGCTGCTGGTACTGGTGGTTATGTTGGTGGGGCTGGGGGCGTGGCAAGGCATCAGGCAGCAGCAGGGATGCCTGTGTCTGCAGCAGGGGAGGGGGAGGCTAGTGCAATGGTGTCTGGGCCAGGGGGAAAGGTGGCAGCAGTGGGGACAGCGGAAACAGTGGAGGAGGCAGCACGTCCAGTCATGGAGCCAGGCGCGTGAGGTGACTATAACGAGGGGATGGGAATGGAGAACGGGAAAATGGGATGGTACTGGTTACTTCTGGTTATTGGTTTCCTGGTACTGTGGTTTCTTCTGATTTGATGGCTCTGACATTTGCTGGGCTGGTTGTGTGTACATACATCCACAGGGTTATGGTGGCCTGCTACAGGGAGTTTGAAGTTTCTTTTCAGCCGCCTGTAAGATTGAAGGTCATTACATAATGTGCAGAGCTGAATAGTGTAGTGTACATTTGTATATTTTCTGCATGCTGCAGAGCAGTGCCGTGCTGTGTAGGCGGCAGTGCTGTGTGTAGGCTTCTGAGGTGAAAATATATTCTTTGCCATACGGTAACATCCAGTTTCCCATCCAAGTTACTGATATTGAATTCTTACCACATTGACAGACTGTGTTTTTATAGCACATACACCAAACTCTATGCATGAAAATAATTGACAGCGAATGAAAGTCTGGAAAGTGTGGATACACCACAGAAAATGATGTGACCACCCGGAAGTGATATATCAGCATGACATTATCGAGGACCTGTGGGGTCAACGAGTCTGATTCTCTGTTGGCGTCTTCGCTTTCGTCGCTGCATGCCACTGGTCAGATCCCGTCCAGAACTGGCCAGTGATACTTTTATCTGTAGTGGTGACCACCGCGGTCAATGGTCAATGTCAAGCGGAACTTTCTGTCTCTTAGCGGCTTTCACCTCAATCGCATCGCATCCTCGTTTCAGCATTGTTCGCCATCATCTATGCTGGTTTGTCGTAAGCATCGAACCAGATCTGAGGGATGTCCGAAGTGAACGTCGACATCCGTTGACATACGTTTTGGGGATGTCGGTGAATCGTGACGGTTGAAATTCTCGATCCGAGGGTTGAAATTTACCAATATCTTGCGACGTCCGTCGACGCATTCACTTCGGACACGCCCTAACCATCAACAGCAACAAGTATGTTACTCTAAATCGATTCAAACCGCTTTTAAAGCAGTCTGTAATTCCGCTTCTCCCCTTCCACCCGACTCCCCAACCCATTTCCAGCTCGACTTTACATTACACTGCACTAAGTGCAGGTGCGGTGGGGCAACCGCAAAAAGGCTTAAACTGTTCTGTATATACGGTTGCGATATGTTAAAGCTGGTACAGCTCGCTGGCGGCTCGAGCACACCCCCCAACCAGGACTTGTCACACAAGTGCATACACATGATGCTCACCCCCTGCACGCGAATTTGTCCCGTACCCGATGTAAGCTCTGCACTCGTTTTTTTTTCCCCAAGCCAGCTGCACGCACGTTACAAGCACCTCACGTGGTTCTGCACCAATGGTAACGAAATGACCGAAGTCAAAATTTCAACGGGTAAGTAAAAATTAATTTTATATGCACCTTACGATACCTTATTTGCTGTTCGCGAATTGACGAAAGTTATGCGATACACAAGAACAGCTTAAGCGCCCCCTTCACAAGGCTACCGGGAGTGGCTCAAACCTGGCATCATGTGTAGATGGAATGGAATGATTCCGTTCGTAACGGCATAATGAGCGTCTCAACTCAGCCTCTTCTTCCCCCATCTCCCAAGCATGACGACGAATGTGCACCGCACCATGTTCCCTGCGCTGCAGTCATCCAGTCACTACAGCTACCTGTATGATGGTGTGGTGAAGCCAAAATTTCATTTCGTGGTTCTACTTTCCGCCAGCCGTGCTTCTCGCATCCCATACATTTCTGTCCCGCGATTTGCCGTCGACGAAGGATTCGTCGTTGTAGATTGCTGAAACGGACTGGATGTCGGATTGCTGTGTGTCTGTTCTACGTAGAACCGGGTAATCATCTCTCGATAATCCCAGAATCTTTATTGACAGCAACCAACGCCTAGTCATGACGGTAGCATATCTCACGGGGCCCTCAATCGACCAGCCTTCAGTAAACCAGCCGTCAATGGACGAACCGCGTAAGCTGTCCAGACGTTCGCAATCATTAGGTAGCGCAATGAGCGGCGAGTGGACAGCCATGGCGCAGGGTCCGCCGAACGCGGAGCCAACCGCGCCGACTGGGCTCCGCCATCGCTCCCTTTCCGCAAGCTCTCGCGGCTTTCCAGCCATTCGAATCGTCATCCCCGCTGACGAGGACAACAACGCATGCGACGACACGCGGTGCGACGACACTCCGCGCGACGACACGCCGTGCGACGACCCGTGCGACCGAGCGAGCCATGATGCCGCGACGCGGCCGCTCTCCGTGCAAGCCTCTCCCTTTCCCATGCCACGTGGCAACTCCATAGAGGTTGACCGCATGTGGGAGGTCCACGCGTCGCCGTCCGATTCAAAAACGACCAATGAAACGACAAGTCGCGCTGGGAGAAGGGAGAAGAGCAAAGCGCGGAATGCGGAAGGAGCGGGCCCGTCCGCCCGCGCGCCGAAACTGTCTCCGCTGGGTTCTGCCAGCGGGTTTGCGCGCATGCTGCTGCAGTGGGCGCCGTCGTCAGCGCGCAACAGCCTCCGCAAGAAACGCGGCGATTCTGCGACCTTCGGCTTTCCGGCGCCCCGGTCCCAAAGCGTTGTCCAATCATCGCAAAGCCAGCGCGTTGCTGACGTCAGCTCGGAGCTGAACCGTGACACGTCAGCTCGCGCGTCGGAGTCAGGTATCGCGGCAGCATCCGCGCGGGAACGCGCGGGACTTTCCGCGGTTCGTCCGGGGGATGCGACGGCAGAGGAATCGTCGCGCGGGTTTTCCGCCCGTCCGCGCACGGCGCCAAGCGGAATCTTCAGCCGTTGGCGCTCCGCCGCGCCGCTTTCCCGCCCGAAATCTCCGCTGTTCGGCCTGACGTACATGGGTGCATCCGCGCGACGGGGAGTAAGCGGCGCGTTGCCCGAAGGAAACGAGCTGTGCGAATTTGGCGATACAGCGGCGTCGGCGGACACGAATAACGGAGCAGCTTACAACGGAGACAGGCTCCGCTCTATATTTGAACAGGGGACGAGCTTTTCGGCGGCTAGTGAACGGCCGTGGAGCAGCGGAGGGTGGGGCGTGGCGGAAGGGGCGGGGGAAAGCGTTTCGGAGCGCGGAGATGCGGAGAGGGAGGATATAGAGCGGCGCGTTTCGTACAGTAGCAGCATTGCTGGTGCGGCTGGTAGTGTGGTTAGCAGCAGCACTGCGGCTTATACTGAAGGTGCTTATAGCGAGTCGCTGATCATCCAGCACACGGATCGTGACACGGATTGCGAGAGTGTGACGTCAGCATCTAGCTGCAGCGGGTACGACGCACTTGCGTGGGGGGGGAGCGCGCCGATGGGCGGAGGAAATGCGCCAATGGGCGGAGGGAATGCGGTGATCGGCGGAGAAAATGCGCGGCTGGGGGAAACTCTTGCTGATGGGGGCGGCGGAGACTTCGCGACCCTCTGGCGGAGCCTCCCCCGCGATCTGCGGCGCACGCGGTCGCTGCACAGCCCGCGGGAAAGCGAACAGGGGTTTCCCGGGGGGAATGCGGGGGGAGGTTTTGGGGGGGAAACGAGGGGGAATGGTGGACACGTAACGACTGGTAGCATGCGACGTGTGGGTAGTCTAGAGATGCTACCACCTGTAGCGCATGAAACATTTGTAGCAGCTGTAGCAGGGGCAGCAGGTGTAGCAGGGGCAGCTAGCGCAGGCCCGTTTACCCCCTCCGCGCACGCCCCCGCGGATCTACCCCCCCCGTCCCCGCGGTCTGCTGGCGGCGCCGCGTGGGTGGTGAGCGTGCCGTCCTTCGCGCAGCACCGCCTGCGCGTCGCGTCCGCGGAGAGGGCCGCACGCGGAGGGGGCGAGGGGCGGGGAGGGGGCGAGGGGCGCGGGGGAGACCCACACTCACAGGACCAGCAGCTGCTGCAGGAGGAAGAGCAGGAATGGCAGGTTCGGCAGCAGGGTTGGGAGCAGGAGCGGCAGCAGGAGAGGCAGCTGTTGCCTAGGGCGCACAGGCGGACACGCAGCCTTCATGCAGGCGACATGGAGAAGGTCCGGCTGGAGCACCCAACCGTGCCGTACCTAACCGTGCTGCACTCACAAGAGCAGCAGCAGCAGCAGCAGCAGCAGCAGCAGCAGCAGCAGCAGCAGCAGCAGCAGCAGCAGCAGCAGCAGCAGCAGCAACAGCAGCTGTTGAGAGCGCACAGGCGGACGCGCAGCCTGCATGCGGGCGACATGGAGTGGATGAGACTGGAGCAGATCGGCGAGTTCACCATCCCCTCGTTGCAGCAGCAGAGCGGGGAGGATTCTGTGCTCTCTCACGCCCACTCATCGCCGTCCATGCGCCTCCTCTCCTCCTCCCCATCCGAGCCTTTCCTCTCGCCCTCGCTCCACCCTCCCCTCTGCTTGCGGCGCTCCCCCCGCTCGTCTCGCCTGCTTCCCGTTTCTCCCAGAGCCGCTGCTGCTCGACAACCCTCGGTGCCGCAACCAACCGCGCCGCACCCAACTGCGCTGCACCTAGCCGTGCCGCACCCACAGGACCAGCAGCAGCAGCCGCAGCGGCTGCTGCCGAGGTCTCACAGGAGGACGCGCAGCCTGCATTCAGGGGACGTGGAATGGATGAGACTGGAGCAGATTGATGAGTTCAACATCCCCTCCTTCCACCACTACTCGCCCTTCCCTCTCCACCACTCGCCTTCCCCTCTCCATCACGCCCTCCCTTCCCCGTCCGCGCCCCTCCTTCCCCCCTCCCCATCCGCGCTCCGCCGCTCCCCCTCGCTGCAATCACGCCTCCGCTCGCCCCGCTCGCCCCACCTGCCTCCCTTTTCTCCCAGAGTAGCTGCTGGAAGAACGACACTGCCGCTCTCAACCGCACAGCACCCAACCGCGCCGAACCCATCAGCACACTCGAGATTCCCCAAATCACAGAGCTTCAATTCGTCTTCCCCTATCTCTTCCATTCGCGCATCCGTTTGCGTTTTGGTTCCACCTATGCCGCATCGGCCGCCCATGCGTTCGCCATCCAGCAAGGGACCCAGCAGGAGCACTCTTTTACTTCTAGAGGCGCCTCATAAACCCGCCATGTGTTCCCCATCCGGCAAGGGACCTGGTAGAAGCTCTTGCAGCAGCTTTGAGTTGCCGCTGCCCAAGGGAGGGCACTCACTTAACGGATTTGCGGGTAACACTGCCTTTGGGACGCCTGAAACTGCACCAGCTGCCTATGGGACGGAGGCTAATTCTGGAGGAGGGGAAGAGGGTGGGTTTAGGGGTGCCACTGTAGATGCGTCTCCAAAATCCAGTACACCCAGAAGGCCGTTTCGACGGTGCAGATCAATGGGTGAAGGAATCAGAGATTTGAGGGGTGGAGGAAGCGAGTGTGACTATAGCGAAGCTTCTTCTTATGGTGGTACCTTTGTTCCTCAGGAGAGCTCTTTAGGACTGACTGTGCCCTTCCCACAGGCCGGTTCTGCACCTCCCAGTTCCCCGCAGGCGGTTACTGCACCTCCAGTTGTGGTATCAGCCCCAGGAGGGGTTGTGTCAGCAGCACCGTTACCACCGGTTGTAACTTGGAGTCCAGAGGCGGTAGCAGCACCTGTACGCGTGGCGTCACGCGATTGGGTAGAGGATTCGTATTGCTTCCTGAAGGATGAGGATGGGGTTGTGGGATGAGTTGAGCGCTTGGACTCGGTGTGACTGTCATTCATGGGATTGAATTCAAGGGTACATTCCTGTGGAGGCACTTGTGTCTGAAACACTTTGTGACTCGCAAAAAATGCATATAACGTACTGTGTCACAAACGCGGACCGCACTAGTGCGATCCTCACTATATTTTACATTGGTTGGCGTGAATTGCGCGGGTGTTGCGGACGAGTTACACGAGGCCCCGTCACCTCCTGAAAATCGCACGCGTGTCGAAATGTCACACTGTACAGCATGCACCTGGACGCCCGAAATGGGCAATTTTCGGGCGGGAAAGGAAACCGCTCTGCCCGGGCTGTCAGCTGAGTGGTGGATGTAACCACATTGTCACATCCCTGCCCTGTTGCGCAAACTGTTCCAGCCAGGGTGATAGGTCCCTCCCGTTCCAATCTATTCCTGTACTCCAAACCCCAGCTCTCTACTTCGTGTTTCTTGCATTTTCTTCCACGCCGTAGCCATGGCCCGTAAGCGCAAGAGCGTAGCTAGTAATGCCGAGCTGTGCCCGCGGGATCTCAACGAGATCCCGTACATCGCTTGGATGAACAAGCAGATCGCTTCCGGCCGTAAGCCCGCCGGCCCTTTGCCCGATGGGGCCCCGAGTGCAGGGGACACCTCTTTCGAAGCCCCGCGCAATGTCCCTACCCGTGGGCGCCGTGATGCCGACCGTGTTGCATCATCCCGCGTCGTTGACGACGACGCCTTCGATGACGACGCCGAAGACTCCGACTACAACGACTGCGACGACGATGCGGACTCTGGCGAGGAGGAGGACAAGGGCATGTCCCCTTCCGAAGATGAAGACGACGCCGACGAGGACGCTGACGACGACAAGGATGTGAAAATTAAAAGAGAGAAGAGGGTTGTGTCAGAACATATCTATAGCTTATGCTGCTGTGTAGGCTGTAGTGGGGTATCCCATAGGGGGTACAACCCAGTTAGGGTTTCATATTTGTACTGCTTTCATTCATAGTTCATTCATTCCTGCTTACTCTTTTCACATGGTATAGAGCTAGGTCCCTCCAGGACCGAAATTTTTGGGCCCACCGAAGCGCGCCCCCGAGGCGCGAATTTTTTTTAGCGACCCCTCGAGTCGCTCTCTCCTCTGCGGCCTCGCCGCCCACTCTGTCGCGGCCCCGCCCTGCTCCTTACGCGGCCCCGCCCCGGCCCTTACGCGGCCCTTACGCGGCCCCACGCCAGCCCCTTACGCGGCCCTTACGCGGCCCTTACGCGGCCCCGCCCCGGCCCTTACGCGGCCCTTACGCGCCGGCCCCTTACGCGGCCCTTACGCGGCCCTTACGCGGCCACGCCGCCGGCTCCTACGCGGCCCCTCGCCGGCTCCTTACGCGGCCCAGCCCCGGCCCTTTCGTGGCCCCGTCCCCGGCCACTACGCGGCTCCGCGCCGGCTCCTACGCGGCCCTTACGCGGCCCCGCACCTGCCCCTTACGCGGCCCTTACGCGGCCCTTACGCGGCCACACCGCCGGCCTCCTACGCGGCCCTGCCCCGGCTCCTATCACAGCCCCGCCCCGGCTCCTTCGCGGCCCTGCCCCGGCTCCTACGCGGCCCTACCGCCGGCCCTGACGCGGCCCCGCCCCGTCTCACTTCTACGCGACCCGAGCCGCCTGCAGCCGAGCCGCCCGGGAGCCGAGCCGCCCGGGACCCGAGCCGCCCTGCAGCCGAGCCGCCCGGGAGCCGAGCCGCCCTGCAGCCGAGCCGCCCGGGACCCGAGCCGCCCTGCAGCCGAGCCGCCCTGCACCCGAGCCGCCCTGCAGCCGAGCCGCCCGGGAGCCGAGCCGCCCTGCACCCGAGCCGCCCTGCCGCCGAGCCGCCCGGGAGCCGAGCCGCTGTACACCTGAGCCGCCCGGTCGCCGTTCTGCTTTTCTGTCGAGCTGCGCGACCTGCCCTGCCTGGTGAGCACAGTCCCACTGTCACTGCGTGCTCTCCCCCCTACTGCTTGCACTGCTTCACAGTCGTCGTCATGGCTACCCCTAGTGTCCTAGCTTTTGACGCTGAGGGTCGCGCCATTGATTTTGAGGTCTGGTTAGACGACCTGCAGCTGTTCTTACAGTGCGACAGGGCTGACGACCTTTCTCTCTTTGACCTCACCTCTGGCGCCTCTCCTGCCCCTGCTGCTGATGCTGATCCCGCTGTCCGCTCTAAGTGGGCCACCCGCGATGCTGCTGCACGTCTTGCTGTGCGTCGCCACCTCCCTACCTCTGAGCGTGCGCACTTTAGTCAGTACAAGAGTGCTCAGACCTTGTACGACGCTGTAGTTGCGCGCTACTCCTCCCCTGCCACTGCTGCACTGAGCCGTCTCATGCTTCCCTACCTCTTTCCTGACCTCTCTGCCTTTCCCACTGTCGCTGACCTCATTACGCACCTCCGCACTAGTGACACTCGCTACCGCGCCGCCCTTCCTGCTGAGTTCTGCGCTAAGAACCCCCCCCCCATGTACATCGCTCTCTACTACGTAGTCGCACGCCTCCCTGACTCCCTTCGTGTCGTCAGGGACCACTTTCTCGCAGTCTGTCCCACCACTCTCACCGTCGACCTCCTCGAGAAGGCCCTCCTTGCAGCGGAGAAGAGCATAGTCGCTGTAGGTGCTTCTCGTGGTGACCCTCGCACCCCCATCTTTGAGGGGTGCTCTCCTTCCCCCTTGCTGCCCTCTGTTGCCTCTGCTGCTGCTGCCGACCTGCTTGGTCTTGAGTCGGTCGGCGCGGCGTCTGCCCCTAGTGGGAGACGTCGCTCCAGCAAGGGCAAGGGGGGCAAGGGCGCGGGTGGAGCTGGAGGGGGCGGTGGCGGTGGCGGCGGTGGCGGCGGAGGGAGTGGGGGTGGCGGCGGGGCTAGTGGCGGGGGTGGTGGTGGTGGTGGCGGCAGCAGCGGCGGAGACGGTGGTGGTGGCAGCGGTGGTGGTGGAGGCAGTGGCGGAGGTGGAGGCGGCGGAGGTGGAGGCAGTGGAGGCGGCAGCGGAGGAGGCAGTAGTGGTGGAGGAGGTGGAGCTGGTCGGGGTGGTACCCAGCAGCGTAGCGGCGGTGGTGGTGGCCAGCGCTCGCACCGGCAGCAGCAGCAGCGCTCGCGGGACATCCCTTCGCCTCAGCAGCTTCGTGAGTGGTACGCTGGGCGTCAGAGGGGTGGGGGTACTGGTCCCTGCACCTACGTTCTTCGTTCCGGCGACCGCGCGGGTGAGCAGTGTGGGGGTGCCCACGCCACCCAGCGCTGCTTTGGCCGCCTGACGGACGCTTGGCGTCAGCAGTTCCCTGGGGCTAGTGAGATCCCTCGCTGGGATGAGCTTCTCAGGGCTGGTGTAGCGATCTTTGATCTTGATTTTGATGCTATCCTTACTGCTATGTATGTTGTGGATTATAGTGAGGAGAATGAGGGTTACCGGTGTTTTCAGCCCGACCCGGGCATTGGTACTGCTGCGCTAGGTGCTTGTGAGGCTGCTGCTCTAGGTGCCAGTGCGTCTGCGCTCTCAGGTACTGGTGAGACTGCGCTCTCAGGTACTGAGTCGTCCTCGTCCTCCCTCACTTTCACACTTGACTCCGGAGCTTCTCGCTCCTTCTTTCGAGACCGCACTACCCTTTCGCCGCTCGCCAGGCCGGTTGCGGTCTCCCTTGCTGACCCCTCTGGGGGTCCTGTCCTGTCTCACTTCTCCACTGTCCTCCCGTGTCCGGCTGCCCCTTCGGGCACCCTGTCGGGTCTGTACCTTCCCTCGTTCTCTACGAACTTGGTGAGTGGAGCGGACCTGCAGGATGGGGGTGTTCACCAGTTCACTCCTGCACGTCAGAGGGTGACCCACTGTACGGAGGCTCGCACAGGCCGACACCTGGCCACGTTCTCACGTCGGCCGGGGTCGAGTCTCTACACCCTGACCGTTGAGTCTCCTCCTGTCCCTGAGTCTGGTCAGGTGGCTGCGTCGGGTCAGGTACTTGCTGCTGCGTCCCGGTCAGGTCCTGAGTCTGCCCCCTGTTCTTGTCGCCTCCTGTCTCACGAGACGCTCCTGTGGCACCACCGTCTTGGCCACCCCTCCTTGCCCCGTCTTCGGAGCATGGCTTCCCGTGTCCTTGTCTCTGGTCTTCCCCAGTCTCTCCCTCCTCTCCCCTCCGGGCCAGGACCTTCCTGTGTCCCCTGTGTCGAGGGTCGCCTCCGGGCTACTCCTCACTCCTCCCACTTCCCCCCGACAGAGGCTCCCCTGCAGACGCTTCACATGGATGTGTGGGGCCCAGCCCCCGTCCGTGGGCAGGGTTACGAGCGCTACTTCCTGTTGGTGGTTGACGACTACTCGCGTTACACCACAGTCCTCCCCTTGCGCAGCAAGGGTGCGGTCACTGAGGTGCTGATCGACTGGATCCGCGAGGCTCGTCTCCAGCTCAGGAAGAGCTTCGGCTCGGACTTTCCTGTTCTGCGTCTGCACTCTGACAGAGGCGGAGAGTTCTCTTCTCGCCTTCTGCGAGACTACTGTCGTGCACGGGGGATCCGCCAGACCTTCACGCTTCCGGACTCACCACAGCAAAATGGGATTGCTGAGCGCCGCATTGGCATGGTCATGGATGTCGCTCGTACGTCCATGATGCATGCGGCTGCCCCCCATTTTCTGTGGCCGTTTGCGGTGAGGTACGCGGCGCATCAGCTCAACCTTCACCCCCGGGTCTCTCGGCCAGCGATGTCCCCAGCCTTGCTGTGGACGGGGAAGGTTGGCGATGCGTCTGTGTTCCGTGTCTGGGGATCTCGGGCGTTTGTCCGCGACTTGTCTGCGGACAAGCTGTCCCCTCGTGCTGCTCCCTGTGTCTTCCTTGGCTTCCCCACTGACGCCCCAGGGTGGCAGTTTTACCACCCCTCCTCTCGTCGTGTTCTGTCCTCCCAGGACGTCACGTTCGACGAGTCAGTCCCCTTCTACCGTCTCTTCCCCTACCGCACTCCTTCCCTCCCCCCTCCCCCGGACTTCCTTGTGCCGGTTCCCCCCCCGGTAGA